AGGCGGTCATTTTTGTGGTGTGAAGTAGTATATAATCTCCAATGCTGGGAGCCCAGGCACCGAATTAATGAGAGGTTTCATGTGTACCTAAAAGAACATCTTTCCAAGAATTTATTACCCTTGTTTGGGCATATGTTTGTGAAGGCCTTCAAGTTGGTGGTCAGTTCAGACACTTCAAAATTTTCTTTAAAAACTCTGCTTAGGGCCCATGGATTTTCTGTGTGTGTTATACTTCAATACTGAGTTTAGAAAGAAAGAAAGAAAAGAACCCCATTCTGTTTAAGCCCCACTTTCTCTGGGTTGCCCCTAATGCAGTCATCTCTATTTACCTTCCGTGTTTCCTCCAGACACTTAGATAAAAGGCTGACTTTTATCTCTGGAATTGGTGAGCTGTGATGTAGTGAAAGCAGAGGGCAGAGTCCCTGACTCTAGAACTTGTTCTTTTACAGAAAAGCTGCCTATTGTTGGGCAAGACCTTTGACTTATTTAATGGCTCAATTTTCTCATCTATGGGACAGGCATAAAACATGTCACAGAACGTGTTGTCATGAGCATCAAGCAAGGTAATGGCTCTAAAAAGTGCTTCATTACTAATAGAAAGTGTGAAAACTTTACAATATGGTTACTACATGTGTTTGTGTGTGTGTGTTTTTTCTGGTGTGTTGTTATTTGGTTTCCTATTTCCCATCTGGCCCCCAGCAGCAGCCCGCCAGAATGCCAAGTCAGATCCTGTCTCTCTCTGGCTCCAGGGGCCCCATCGCTATGCCTGCCAACTCCCTACCATGGCTCTGCCTTCAGTTCCTACTCTTCTCAGAGGCTGGATTTCCTGCTAGTCTTCAAACCTCCAGGTTCAATCCCACCTCAGAGCTTCTGCTATTTACCCTACTGGGAACGCTCCCTCCGTTCCACATCCCTGTGGCTCACTTTTTTACTTCCTTCAAGTTTTTGCTTTTTTGGGGGGGGGAGGGGAGACAGAGTTTCACTATGTCGCCCTTGGTAGAGTGCCGTAGCATCACAGCTCACATCAACCTCAAACTCTTGGGCTTAAGCCATTCTCTTGCCTCCCAAGTAGCTGGAACTACAGGCAACCACCACGATACCCAGCTATTTTTTATTGCAGTTGTCATTGTTTAGCTGGCCAGGGTGGGGATCGAACCTGCCACTCTCGGTGTATGTGGCTGGCACCACAACCACTGTGCTACAGGCGCTGAGCCAAGTTTTTGCTTTTTAATAAGGTCTTTTTTTAGTCATCCCATTAAAGTCGCATTCCTGGCACTTCCTAGCCCTCCTTCCTGCTTTAAATTTTTACATAGCACTTAACAACTCCGAATATTTTTTATGAATGAGTTACTTATTTTGGTTATTTGCCTTTCTCCACCAGATTATGAACTCCAGGACAGCAGGGATTTTGTCTGTTTTGTTAATGTGTGTATCCCCATTCCTCCTCATCCATTCATGTCTTCACCTCAATCAACGAATGAATGAAGTTTCACAGTCTTACAATCAGATGGAGAATGGATGGGAGCTTACATTTCTGGACACTTTAGTACATAACTAGTAAAAACGAGCCCTACTGGAAAGGCTAATGTGGATTTTCTACTTTCGCCCGGGATCTTGACCACCTGGAAGATATTTGTCTCATCTCTTCGCGTGTTTTAGTAATCCTGGAATGCTGCTCCTATTCCCGCATTATTAAAACACACGTAGAAAAGCAGCAAGTGCAGGAAAGAGACAAAGAAGTTGAAATGTACCAGGCAGATTTGACCAAAGGCATGAGTCTACGGTATA